GACATCAACTTTTTGTTGCAACTATTGTTTTTTATATTTTTTATGTATTTTAAAAAATACTCGCATACTTGTTTTTACACCGACCCTGGGATAATTCTATTAGCTTAGTCTTAAATAGATGAGTAATTACGGGTGAGTTCTTGATATTTGACAACTTTCATATTAAAATGTTTAAACCCACTTATTAGTTATGAGCTCATTCGTTTTTCCTCTCTATTTTTAGACCTTACCTGATGATGAGGATTTGATCCTCGAAACCGGTCGTAATAAAATACTCTTGTGAGATCCTAAGGACCACCTTTGTTTGATTTACCTTTTCGTTTAATATTAGCTGGTCTTACTCTGAGTAAAGAAAAGTGTCAGTTTTGTAGGTCTGAGTTGAGATATTTGGGGTATGTTGTTGATATTAATGGATAACATGTAGATCCAAGTAAAGTAGAAGCCATATTGCAAATACCAACTCCAAAGAAAGTATCTGATATTAGGAGTTTAATTGGTACAGCTAGTTGGTACAGGAGGTTTATCCCAAATTTTTCGTCACTCATTCAGCCTTTAACAGAATTGTTAAGGAAAAACATTAAATTTGTTTGGTCCGTTCGTCAAGAAGATGCCTTTCGCCAGATAAAAGAACATTTAATATCAACTCCAGTATTGTCGTGTCCAGATTTTAATTTACCATTTACGATTTAAACGGATACGAGTGGTCATGGAATTGGGGCTGTCCTAACCCAAAATCATCCTGGAGAAGGCGAAAAGGTTGTACGTTATTTGTCACGATCGCTCACAAAACAAGAGAGAAAATACTCGACGACGGAGCGCAAATGTTTGGCTGTGTTGTGGAGTATTGAGAAGTTAAGGCCATACATTGAAGGTACGCATTTTACACTCCTAACGGATCATTGGTCTCTTTGTTGGTTGCATAACCTCAAGGACCCAACTGGTCGTCTTGCCAGGTGGAGCTTAAAACTTCAGCAATACTCATTTGATGTCATTCATAGAAAGGGAAAGGAACATGTAGTTCCTAATATGCTATCTAGGTCGGTCCCGGTAGTCGACTCTATTGAGGTCACTGATGATATTGGGGTTGAAGGCAACGATAAATGGTATTCAAACATGGTGTTTAAGGTTCAAAATAACCCTCTCCGTTATCCATCTTGGCGTGTCACGAATTCAAAACTCTATAAATATGTTAAGTATAAAACCATGCCTGATATTGAAGTTATTAATGACTGGAAACTTGTTATACCGAAGATGCAACGTATTGAAATATTTAAAAGATATCACGATGACCCTCGTACTGGTCATCCAGGAATTTTTAAAACTTTTAAACGAATTTCTCAGTATTTCTTTTGGCCTAAACTCAAATCCGATGTGTCTAAGTATGTTAGTAAATGTAGTGTATGTGTGCAGTATAAGTCTAGTCAACAGTGACCGGCTGGTCTTATGACACCTCATCGTGTCTTCAAGAAATCTTTTGGACTTATTAATTAATAATCCTTCATACAAAAAGAAAAAAAAAAGATCCTTTGAATTAAATAAAAATAAAAAAACTCTTGTTCTATTAATTGGGGTTATACTCCTCGCATGCGGGGAGCTCACAGATTTTCCCTTAAATATTTCTTACACAAAATACTCTTTTATTTATTTAACCAATATTAATTATATTTTGCTTATATTTATATCAAGTAAGTAACGTAATAATTTGTATAAAAGAAAATAAGAATGTCGTTTAACACCTTTAACCCCAAGTTAATATATTATGCTCTATATTTTTTTTGAGAAAATATTAATAGTAAAAAAAAGAGAAACAAAATTAAACTTATGTATATTATAACGCAAATAGTTTTCCTTTTCCTGTAAAAGGAAAATGAACACGAACACAAACAACTGAGTAGTCCAAATTATCTCGATGATATCCCCAATTGTGTTGAAGATGGGCGGAGAAAAAAATAAGTAGGTACTTACAGTTGGATTATATTGTTAATAATTTAAATACCCACTCCAAAGGATACCGTTGACAAACCATCCACGTTGTCCAGGACAAAAAAATGTTTTACCAAAACTCAAAATCACCAATAGGTACTTCATAACCAAAAGTACGAAACGATAATCCAAACCAACAACCCTAAAAGTAATAATAATTTCTACAGCGACGCAAAACTAAATATTCTTAATTTATTAAAACTGAATTAATAAAATTTAATCGAAACCAAATTAAAAAAAAATTATATATACCTCAATTTGACTCTTGAGGGTTGTGCTATCCAATGTAGACCAAATAAATTATTGAATAGGTTTTCACTGTAACAAAACGACGAATTACTTATCGTATTTTAAATGATAACACGGATAAAGCAAGTTGTCGATACCGACAAAAAAAGGATTAAAAAAAAGTTACTCACCAAAGAAACAATTACCAATTGTTATGGAGTGCCAGTAAATCCTCCCTTAGGAGCTGCAGCGTCACCAAAACACCAAAGGATGACTCCACTATAGATTAGCGATGAAACAGATTTAATCCCTAACAATTTAGGTGGAATAATTTCCAATGTTCTGTTAAATCGAAGCACTCTGAAGACAATTTTATACTGATCACCGGTCAGTGTGAATGCCTCCGCGATATCCAAAATTTATCTTTGTGTATCAGGTGCGCGAGGCGGTCAATTATTTTTGATAGTACCCAAACCTTAGTATATACAACCCACATTACAATAAATTGAAATTTAAAATAATATATTGAAGAACAAGAGGAATATTTTATATTTTTTTTTGTAATGACCAAACGGGTCGTTACAAATTAGCACAGATTAGTTAAAATATAATTCAAATCAACTATTGCACTATAAGAAATAAATTGAAAGTTTTTTCTATAAACTACATTTAGACAAATTAAAAATATCTTTACTTTTATAAGAATGGAAAATATTTTGATAAGAGAAATTGTTCAATAAGATGTAAGTACCTAGGTACATTTGTTTGTTTTTATAGGAAACGCCTGACACCTGCATCGAAATTTGGTCCAGGTTTTACTAATAATTTCACTTAAGGTTATTGTTATTTGTACATGTCATGTATGTAATAAACGATTGAGTGCACCTTTTATTAAATAATACCTGTATTTCAAATATTTTAATTTATATTTTTTGGAGTTTTATTACTTAAAAAACTAATATTTATGTTAAATAGTATTTTAATGTAAATATTAGTATTTTTAAAGTAATGAATTCCAAAAAAATGTAAAAAAATAATAAAGAACATTTGAATGAACCGCGGTTAGGTTGACACTCTTCTTTTTATTTTCTTCTTTTATGCTGTCTCTAATTGTCAAGATAATCAGCCAATTGTGTAGCGTGCGATGGTGGCGCCAAATAGTATGGCCGGAACTAACCACTTGTTACCAATGCCGTGCATTTTAACGATTTATCTTTTAATATTAATTTACGACTCTACACGCGCTATTTATAGGCCGTGACGCGTACGGGAATGGCGATGGTGTGCCAACCGGCCGCCCATTTCACCGTTTTTCTTTTTTTTTAGTTGCACATTACTTTGAATCGCTGATACCTTCTTAAGCAGGTACGGGCCCTCTGCTTAGCTGACGGCGTAATTTCGGGACTAAATTAGATCGCGGGCCATAGGCAAGAAAAAAATAGGTAGTATCCAGACATCACAAATAGGTCCATTGGAAGTCTATTCGATATACAATTTTGGATATCTGGTAGTCCAAAGATGAGTTTTTTCTAGACTCTCGACGTCCAATGGACGTCAAGTGAAGTATACAAATGGCACACTTTTGACCATTCTTAGGACGTCCAATTCTGGATTATATTTAGACGTTGAATACTGGAAATTCAACTCACCATACACTATTTTATATTATTAATAAATATTTATTATTTTCGCAACCCGCTATACACCATTTATTATTTTTTTTAATTAAAAATCACCAGAGCAGGATTCAAATTCACGATACGTCCATTATCGTTCTAGGCATTCAAACGATAGGCAACCTCGACCAAGGATCCACTTGGAAAATTCTTACTAGATACGGTTATAATAGAATAAGATTTCAAACTTCCGCTGATAGAATGAAATGTAATAGATTTAATTTTGTTTATATATTACCCCCAATAAGCAACTAGAATACTCTCGATCGTACGCAAGGGTTTTAAGAGCATCGAGCAGCTTTCCGAATGCTTATCTGTTTATTTCTTTCTAACGACTATTTCTGATACGATCTGTGGCGTTTCACTGCGTACGCTTATTAATATTATTTGTCGATTTTAGTCATTATGAGTTGAAGAATATAGTAACGTTCTATTGCGTACGCTTAATACAATTAAAAATAAACTATGTGTATTATTTTTGTTTGCACATTATTAGAATTTTCTAAATCTCTCGCGGGCCGGATTGAAGCTGCTAGAGGGCCGGATCCGGCCCGGAGGCCGGGAATTGACCACATATGTTTTAAATTATTAATTTGATTATAAAAACAATTTAAGTCTATGCACGAGGTAATTGGCAGTGTTTATCTGAATAAGGATTAATAATGAATTGGAAAAAATAGCTTCACAAATAACTTATTGGTATATGTATAGTGTAATTTGCTATTTCGGACTTTTCTGTAGACCTTCATAAGATCTACAATTTTCTAGTACATTGTTTTTATTTATAATTTATTATTTGGTTAGTCATTTAAGCGTACGAAAACAGTTTTTTTGACAAAACATTGTCATAGTTTAGCCATTTTGTACAAATTGTATACACAACCTTCCTCGTTTATTGCTCTTTCTACTGGTGAAAACCGTATTAAAATTCGTTGCGTGGTTTAGAAGACGTAAGCAGAGAAACACACAGAGGCAGACTGCGACTTTTATAAATACTATTTAGAGTAAGTAAAGTACCCTAAATGGAAGATGGAAAAAAATTGTTTCACAAACACTGTAGCTATACTCCGTTCTATTAGTATTACATACAATTATGTAATATCCTTTTTTTAGATTTCTAAAGAATCTCGCATAAAAAATACGACCAAAGACGATTACGAAAGACTGGCTCTTTCCGAATTACAATATAAATATCCAGAAATCAAATGGCACTTTTATATAAACGGTCTATTAAAGCCTGCTGAACATTTTAACTATGACGATGAAATTATTGTCGTACAACCTCGATACGTCGAAATGATGGAAGTTTTTTTAGGAGTAACAGCAAAAAGGTAAGATAAATTAGAATTTAAAAAAGCGAAAAAATTTGGGTATAAATAGCACAAAACATACATTATAAAAAAAAAATAATAATAATAATAATAAAAGCCTAAAATATAAAATTACATTATAATAGTAAGTAATCAAAATCTTGTGTTAATAGATGGTTTAACAGAATTAAATGATTTTTGTTACAACATGGTAGATAGTGGAAATATCTGGTTAAGGTGAAATGTACGTAATATTTTTAAAAATAAAATCCAACAATCCAGCTAAAAATTAAGACCTCACCAGTACACTCGGCCAGGTCCACAAACTCATATAGGCACAACCTCTTCACATTGTGTAAACTGCCATGATGAATAATACAAAAAACTATATTAGAAATTGAGATCTGAAAATATATTCTTGTGTTCAAGGTCGGCAACGTGTCAATGTAAAATTCGAAAAATCCGCCATATAAACCTATGCTTTATTAAAAAAAGGATATGAAGATTAGTGTTTATCGCACTAAGGTTTTAAATTATCAACAAGAGAGGAGAAGTGATCATAGACGATTCGCATGAAGGACAACCGTGCACCTTGACACACAAACATTTAAAAAATCGGCGTATTGATCAGAAAAGTATTTGGGCAAAATCTAAAGGAATATAAAAATAAAATGTAAGACAGATTTAAACGAAACAAAGTCCTCCTTCTATCAGGATAATGCTGCAGTATTCCTGTATTAGAACATCCATCTTAATCACCAGTTCTCGCCTCATGTGACTCCTATTTTTGCCCAATGTTAAATCAGTACTAAAACATCAGATTTAAGACACTAGAGCTGTCAAAAAATAAGCGTCGGAGACCATGAACCTGCGCTTTCAAAAAATTATTAACAGCACTGCTCAAGGAAATGGAAAATTCATATAGAGCGGTGAAGGCAAGTATATTAAATACTATAATGTTAAAATTGAGAGAAAAAAAACAATAAACTATTTAGTAGCATTAATCCGTTTGTTTTTGTCAAACCTCTTAAGCCATCATCTGTTTTTTCTCCAAAAAGCTTTTTGATGTATTCTCTTGCAAATGTGTAAGTATGGAGCTTTGCAGTTACGAAAGGGTCAGAAAAGTGCCGACTTTAGAATGGCCATTTTTAAAGGATCAAAGATCAGAGGAGAAAATGAGAATGACAAAGCTGTTACATCCCAAACACAAAAGAAAATGGCAAGAAACACTGCAGATTGCAATAGAGGTAAAACCTTAGAACAGCCAATTCTAAGCATTAGCCGAATAAGGAAGGAGTGTTGGTCAATTCAATAAGAATATTTCGCAAACTTCCAGCTCCGAAGATAGTACATCAAACGACAATTTTGAACTGTCTTATTATAAAAAAAAAAACAAAAAGCCGAAATTTAAGAAACCAAAGGAAATACAATTACAAAATACGTCTAGAGTGGCAGATCTAACAGGATCCTCAAACAGAACTGTGGCTAAATTGGTAAATGTTGTTTACGAGGATCTTAATGTTATCTCATCAGAAAATCCCTCAAAAGTACTAGTAGATAGCAGCAGCCAAATTTGGCTTATAACGAGATAATTGATGGTTTATACTTTGAAGGATGAAAGGACTAAACTTTCTCACGAGAAAATAATAGATGTATTATTATTCAAAAATAGCATCTACCAGTTATCAAAGAACCTGGAAGTAACTACTTTGCTCATGTGTCATTAAACTCTCCTGTATCTGCTGTTATCATTAAAAACGGACTTATGGAATGTTTAAGTAAGTATTGATACTTTAGATGTCTTATAGGTTGTGACGGAATGAACGTTAACACTGGCTGAAAAGGAGTAACTATTAGACTTCTGGAGACTCATCTTAAGAGGCTACTTTAGTGGAATATTTGTCTTCTGTATTTTAATGAATCACCATTAAGACACATACAATCTTTGGATGGTGCAAATAAAGGACCATCTAGTTATTCTGGTTCCATCTGCTCACTTTTAAAAAATTGCGAAACTATGCCTATCGTCAGTTTTAAGTCAACTAATACTGGACTAACGAAACTTCCAGAATTGACCCAAAATTATTTAGGTGCTGACCAAAAATATCTATTTCAAATGTGCTGTGCCATTCGAGACGGTTATTGTCCCACCAACTTGGCTACAAATGTCAAATGCCAGGTGGTTGATAACGGCAAACAGGTTGTTGCGTTTGTATATTTTACCAAAAAATCCATCCTTAAACCTGCAGATTTTAACAGAATACGTTGTTAAAATTTGTTCTTCTGTGTGGCTTTCTAAAAAAAACAAAACCACTGATTTATAATGGTGCAAAGCATTTGTGGAAAGCTATTAAAGCATCCAGAACTTTTCCGAACCAGGTAAAGAATATTATAGAGAAGGTGTTTCAGGACAACGCTGACTCCCCACATCCTGAAAACTTTTAAGTGGCAATGCTTACAGACTCTCGCCAACATATCCGTCAATTAGCTGTAAGAAAAATTGTGAAAGCAAGATCTTTCACAAGCAAACAAGAGGTAAGATATCTTAAAATTCCCGCCATTAATTTATCTGCAGAGGATTACATATAAATGATTGATTGGCAAAAATGTGTTTTAAGAGTTTCAATTGAAGATTTAAAAAAAAAATTGTAAATGGAGAAAGACGCTACGTTTAAGAAATTTCCCTGTCACACGCAAGCAGTTGAGCGATCTGTAAAAATTGTGACTAAAGCTTTTCAAAAAGTTTGTGGAGAAGCAGAAAGAGATGTTACGTCCGCTCAAAATTAGAAGGTAGAAAACTATAGCCTGTATTTGAAAACAAGAGACTATATTTTAAAAACAGAAAATTCAATTAAAATACACTAAGGTGGGAGAGGAACTTGATGTGTTCTGGGTTGACTTAGTGCTTACTACTTTTAAGTATAATATTTTAAAGCTGGTAAAAATTAAGTCAAGCGAAGAGCTGCACAAGTAATAAAAAGTCAATTTTTCTGTTAATTTATTAATATTTCAAAATCCGTGGGGTCAGTTAAACGTTATTTAATTAAGTTTATATTTTTTTTTAGTAGTTCAAATTTCATTTTGCCAAAAAAAATTGAACCCCCTTAGTGGCCTTTAAGTCCAAATGGGGTCGGCCAACATTTGACCTAGGCCACCCAATTTTTGACAAACTCATTATAATAGTCATTGACAGCTTTTTATAAGTAGCGCGTCAATATTATTCAAAAAAATTAAAAAACGGCTTATTTCGGCATGGCCTAATATATATCTACTGTATATTATAAAAAACTAAAGATGCTATAAGACCAATAGGAGGTTAATTGATATAATTTGGCTCTTTATTGATAAACTTCATCATTTCGTTTCTGACAGATATTCTTGGGCTCATACACGGAAAAAAAATTGTAGAAAAAATTTCTACAATTGTAGATTTTTTCTCTACAATAAATAGTACATATAGGGACAGGGACAATTTGTAGTAAAAATTTCCAAATATTTGTGGAGAATGTATTGTAGAGTTATTATCTACAATATTTAGTAAAAATTTCCAAATGCATCATAAGAATTGTTCTACAAATTGTTATAATTTTTGCTATTCATTGTATGAATTTATATTAAAAATGTATTGCGTTTTATGAAAATAAATACGAAAATTTTATACAATAAATAGCAAAAATTCATACAAATTGTAGTAATTTTTAATAAAATTTGTAGTAGTATTCCATGATTATTATAATTATAACCTAGAAAAAAATGTTCCTTAATAAAATATTCAATTTATTGTTTTAATATAAAAGATACAAATTCTTAATTACATTATGTAATAAATAACAGTAATAATAGCGCCCTCAGTCTCAGTTGGCTTTTCTGCACCTGAAAAATATGAAATAAAAATTAATACCAATTGAACTGTTCATACCCTTAAAACGGGGATATTTATCACCTTTACACTGATTTGGATATTAAATGACTAAGTCAGATAACTAACAAAATTGAGAAAGTAGGTACGTCACAATTAAGACAAAAAAATATCATTGAACTTGGCACACAATTCGATCGTTGGGCACAACATTCGATCGTTGGCCACAACTATTTTTTTAAAATAATCTACTAAGGTTATTTAAATTAGTTATCTAAAGGTAAATTATTCAGAAACAATGTTAAATGTACTTACCACCAATAGAATTTATTATTAAAATTGTCTCAAACGCATCGGTGCTTATAATATAATAATGTGTTATAGGTACTCGTATATGTACCATGCTTTGTTATGTGAACATGGCGAACGGCTACTGCTGTCTGACCGTTTATGATCGACGTCAGAAAACGTTGGCCAATAGCAGAATTTTGTTTTGTTCACATGACTAAGAATTATAAGAAGGGATGTAAAGTATTACTATTTTTTGTAGAGAAAATTACTATTTTTTCTAGAGATAATTATTAATATTTGTACAAATTTTTACAGAAGTTAGTAGTAGTAATTACGATAATTGTAATAAATTTCTACTTCTACAAACAATAGTAAAATATACTAAACATTGTGGACTTCTTTCCTATTGTTGTAGCATTTTATTCGACAATTCAATTGCTACAATAATTAATAGTTTTTAACTATAAATTGTAGTAAAATTTTCTACAAATTGTTAAGTATTTTTCTACAAGTCTACTACTACAACATTGTAGTAAAATTTTCTAGTCACATTTTTTTCCGTGTATCCTTTTATCCTCGTTTTAAATATTCCCTTAACTTTAAATATTTTTCAATATTTATATTTTTATTTAAAAATTAAGGTCTGTTTCCCATAAACATCTAGATCTTTTATCTAAACGAATAATGCCTTTTTTATTGTTTGCTTTTTTTCAAACTTACAGGTCATTAGCCAATATAATTTGTTGGCACACATTGCAGTATTTGATCAGCTACATGCCGGTCGAAATTATAGAACAAGTTTACGAACTTGTCGAAAGAATAAATGGCGAAATGATGAACTTCAGAGTTCCACGTTGGAAAACTTGCGTCCAAGAAGCCAAAATACGGTAAATAATAGCTGTTTGGGTTTTAAGAACGGAAAATGTAATTTCTCCATCATCATCTCAAATAAAAACCTGATTTGAAATCGTATATCCAACAAAATTTAAATTATTTGTTTTCAGTTTAAGTCCCGTCCTTAGTGCGGCTTACATTCAAAATTTCTTTCCCGAGGAGAAAAGGTACAAAGTTTTAACCATGGTACGAGCCATAAAAAAACAATTTGAAGAAAATTTGTTTAGAGTCGAATGGATGGATTACGAAACCAAAGAAATTACAAGACAGAAACTTCACGCGAGCGGCGAGAAGCTGGCTTCCTACGGAGATTTGTTGAATCTTCTAGAGGACAATAAAATATTTGGACAGGTGGGTAAGTTAAAATGGATTTAATATGGTCTAAGAGCAATTACTGTGGCAATAAAGTGTATTAGGACCGTACATAAATTTCGATTTAAATCCTATTTTCTTTTATCCAAGCTATAGTATTTGTTTCTTTCGTATTATTTCAGATATATCTAATTACTTTCGGAACTGTTGTTACCATTTTATATTTTTGTAATAAAAAATAATTTAATCTATCAATCTTTTTCAATAGAGACATTTTGTAACGATATAACCTGAAAAATTATTATAGCAAATTAAATGAATTTTCTTGTTTAAACTGATGTCTTCGTTAATTATAATATTTTTTATTACTGAATGCATTTGATTGATCTTAACGTTATACGTTCATAAAATATGGAAACGCTCTATTATCTTAAGAGGTAATTATTGTCGTACGAGAAGCTCGGACAGTTCGAATTTTATTTTTTATTTTCAAATTTTTTATAATATTAATTTTTACCCCCACTACCTTACAAGATATAAATCATCGATATTTTTTTAAATTGAAAGGGTATATTTTTATATTAAAAATTTGAAAGTCCATATTTTTCTGAGTTCAACCATACCACATACATCATGTGTAACATTTTAAGTTACAGTATACTTCTTTATAATTGCTAGGCCGGCTTTCGTGAACTTTACATTTTAAGTTGAATTTGGCGATCTAGCAGGCCATTTAATGTGACCGCGTCGTCTAATCCAGCAATTAAAAAATATGGTACTACAATGGCATTTCTAAGAATCCCAGCCACATAGTTACGTTTTGAGTATATTGGGCATAAGCTTCTACCGCCTAATAGGATTTTCTGTTACCCAATAGCGACAGTTTTACGTACTTAAGGTACCATTCATACAAAAAGTTGATTCGTCGAAAAATAAAACATTAAATTCAAATCCATTATTGTGATTACACACTTCCTATTGACAAGGTCGTGTTGTCTCCCGTCTTGAGCAGGTAGTTTTTTTATGAGTCGAATTGTCTCCCATTATGGGTCGAGTTGTCTTCGAATCTAATGTACATTAAAAGGTATTAATTTTCACAAATTACACCGTTGTTGCCAAATCAAAATTTTTATTTTTAAAAGTACATTGAACGATACCTTTTTCTTTTTTGTAAAATGTCTCTCAGGATATAGGAACCATTTAATTACGTTGAAATAGAAAAGTAAGAAAATAATCATTAGATTTATTAATTTCTAACGATAACCTGCATTTACACCTTAAATATTCATTAATAAATACTTAATGATAATCTGCATTCAAAACTAGTTTTAATCTTAAACGTTAAAAGTAAATTATATTTACAATAAAATCATATTAATTTAATCCATCCACATTTTTTAAATACAGAAATAGGTACCTGCTTTCCCTCCTTCGTCTTATATAGGGAGGTATTAAAAATAGTAAACCATATTTCATATGTTCTTTACAAGTTTCAGAGATTTTAAAGTTTGCCTTAACCGAAGTTGTATAATAATTGAACCGTCCCATGCAGAAAAGGCATATATCCACTTTTATCAAAATTTACATTTTGTCATATTTGAAGTTACCATACATAAAACACGTCTTATATGTAAAAATGGCACGGGTCCCGTCAGTAGTCTCTATGAAATCCACATACTTTGATTTTCTTTTACTATACGGAGAATGGTCGCACTGTGCAGCTTTCTGAGTGCCTTTTAAAAGGAGATAGAAAACTCCGCCATTTTGATCCCTTATTACGTGTTGCCTACATCTTGGCGCAATATTTTTAATAGATGCGTTTTAATCATCCGCTTCTGCTTCGGAATTGTTGGTTTTCTTGTTTTAATCTGACAGGTTAAAACGACTAAACCGACAATTCCGGAAGTAGAAGCGGATGATTAAAACGCACCTGATATTTTGCTTGCTGCTATCAGTGTCAGTGAATATTATTTTTGGAGTCACAGTTTATTGCTAAAGAATCAGTTAGCTCACTCGGACCAGTTGAAAGTTCCAAAATAACATCCACTCCAGGGATACAAATTTAGGATACGCAGAAGACTGCTGTTTTATTATAGGCGGTTGTCACATATTGTATTATTCGAGTTGCGCAGTGTATAAACTGGAACACAGATCAAAATTGCCGACGCAGAGTGAGCGATCTGATTCTTTAGCTATAAACTATGGCATAGGAATCAAAATGGCCACACCCTATGTTGGGCGTGTCGGACCTCTCTCTTGCACCGTATCTTTATCGGTTGTAAGCAGGTAGGGTTAAGTTTGGCCCAGAACACTGCGGCCTCTTGGGTCTATTGTATTCCCCTGCTTTCCCCGTATTCAGGTACTATCTTTGGAATAGTCCTGTGTCTTTGGTTAGTTTTAATAGGTTTCCTATCAAGTGTTCCTGGGGCGTTTTTTCCGGTCCTAGACCGAAAAGGATGAAACGTCACCCAGTAAGAGCTTCGCATTCGAAGATCACATGGTATGAGGTTTCTTCCTCTTCCATGCAAACTCTACACGTAGTAGGATCATTGTGTAATCCCATTACATGAAGGTGTTTCAGCAAGTAGTGCCTTGTTAGTAATGCCACAATGTTGGATATTTGAGGCCTTGCGAGTTGTAGTGCCTCAGTAGCCATGCGCGGGTTTGGTCCCCTTAGCATGAGCTTACTGATTCTGTGCTATCTTATCTGTTGCCAGTGAATTTGGTGTTTTATGGTTATCCACCTGTTCATTGCCTGTCGAGCAGAGGTTTTGCTTATCCCAAATACAGGTTCGGGTCCTGTGAATGGTAGATCTGATCCCTCTTTGGCGAGTTCATCAACCTTTTCATTTCCTTGGATACGCCAGTTTTACCTTGTTGTGGGTTGTCAGATCATTTAGTATTCCAAGGCAGTTCCAGACAAGCTTTATCTTAATTCTGTTTGAATCAAGAGCCTTTAAAGCTGCCTGGCTATCTGAGAGAATTAAGATGGTTTCGTTTTTGTACTTCCTTCTGTAACGGTTCAAAAATTGTGTCCCACCTCTAGTCTATAATTTAGTTTATTTTGTGTGTAAGATTTAAATTTCGATTTTTGTGCGAAAAGCTTGAAGCTTTACCTGCGATAGTGCCAAATACTTGTTCTAGGAATATTTTTTTTTTGGGTTTAACAATTTCGTTAAAAACAGGCAATTGTGTCTTTATCAAGTTAAAATTCCGTTTTTGCGTAGTAGCTAACGAGAACAGAAAAATTCAGTTGTTACTGAGTAGACTTCGCATGAAATGGGTGTGATTTGCTAACTTTCAAAAATATAGTGATATTTAAGTCATCCGATAGTGGGTTTAGTTTTGGAAGTTATTTTTCGATTTTGGGATTGTGCTTTACCTGTTGGATATTGGTATTTTGGTGCTCTGGTTGTTGATTCCCAAAATTATCCTTAATAAGGATTATTCCACACTCCACGTGCGCTGTGTTCTTGAGGTTCTACCGGCATTTACCTCTAGGAAGACAACAAAAAGGAGGGCGTATTAATAGTGGTTGTTCCCTCGCTTACCGACCCGTAGTCTTAATTAGAAAAAAAAACCCCTTGGCCAGGGTAAGTAAATAAAATTAATTTAAGTAGGTTTAATTAATTTTCTTTCATGAAGGTGATTTGCCACCTCTACCTTTTTATTTAAATGATTTGTTTTTCATCGTCGAGTTCGCCGTTTCTATTTACAATTCTATTGACGATATGAGTAAATTTATTCTTTTTATGATGCATTTCCATCATTATAGTATTTGATGCTTTTTGATTAAAATATTCTATTGTTTTTATTTTAATATTAATTTCCTAGTGAGCTTATATATATTTTCTTTAAAAAAAAAGGAATATTTTATTAGTGCTTATTCTCTTTTCAATTAAAATATAAATGGGTCTTTGACATATTGTCTTTTACTCTTTTTAGGGTTTTTTTTTTTTTACGTTGGGCATCATTTGCTTTGGATTGTTAACTCGAAAACCGGGAGCCTGTCCTAGGAAGTCCTTGGGAGAACGTGATTCGTTCTATTAGGATCGTAACAGCTATTTACACCTCTCCAGCTCGAGTCTGCCGGCTCGAATTTGATAACGTTCTACGAGATAACCACCGCTGGAAACACGCAAGTTATTCTTTTTTAATGATATTCGAACAGTTTTTTTTTTTACTTATAAATTAATGAACATTGTTTTTTTTTACATGGAGTAGACAATCTGACTCTATTATTTCTTTTTTTCTTGTGGGGATTTATAATTAACGTTAGAATTATTTTTGTGAGCGGAATGCTAAGGATCTGGGCTTTACCTACCTATATTATTTGATATTTGAGGATATTACAGAAATCCTCAGCGCATGCGCCTGAGCTCAAGCGACGCCGAATTAACATTTCGATTTTTTTTTGCCATTTATTTTATTCACTACTTTACTATTTTTGATACAAAAAATTTCCCTTAGGAAGCCGCATAAAATTTATTTATAAAAACTTATTTGGTTAATTTATATAGTTATAATATTCGGGCAATAATTAAATATTTATAACACATCCTCAATTTTTACAATATAAAATTTGGTCAATACTATAATATTAATAATATTTCGTCAAGTTATATAATATTTTTAATATCTGATCATTTTATATAATGTTTATAATATTTCGTCAACCTAAAAAAAATACATTTTGGAAATAATTAATATTGCAAAAAAAAAGATTAATTATTTTACTTAGTTATTTTACTTATTTTATAGCAAAGTATTTTTTTGAAAATCCGTAAATAATCATTTTGTATTTTATTACTCTTTTTGTGTCTAGGTTGGGTACATTAAGGTACCGGTTTATATTATTGGTCTTTTGTTAAATTGAGGGTCAATACTTAGACAGTCAGGTGCTCGGGCCAATTTAACTGGCGCCCCCCCTTTTTTTTAATAATTGAGATTGAACCACCCCATCTCCACTAGAGTCTAGCCGCGAGCCCTAAAATAAATTCATCTTCGTAACCGTACTCGGTCTAGCATTCAAATTTAGA